AAAGACAAGCCGTTCTCATATCACATTTTAGGTGGAATGTCGACTGTGGGAACATGCTTTTAAGGATTGAGTTATGAATTGTGTTCATCGGATTTCGTTGAAGGTAATGAAGGAGGGGCAGTTGAATTTTCCCAAAATCGAAAATATACTCTTCACATTTCCACTGAATATCACATATACCTTGCTTTCCAAACTATGTACACATTAAGGCTGAACTGGATTCAATTTTCCTCTTCGCTTGGGTCTCATCAGAAACCCCAGCAGAACTCGAACCCGAGTAGTACAGCATAAAGTCTTGACACGTTAACCACTTCCCCAGACTGCCACAACCTTGGAGTCACCATATTTTGCATTTATAAGTCGGTTTTTGGGGTAACTGGTGTAGTCGATTGTAATAGCGAATAGAACTTTGTGAATATTGGATTTGCTTGAAATTCACTTTATCCCAGTGATCTAAAGGACCTTGTGGTAGCCTGGCGTAGAGGTTAACCTGTACTACCACAAACCGGATTATAGTCGCTCTGGGAGTGCTGAGGAGTCCAGAGTGACGGAGGAACTGGGGTCCATTCCAGTCTGGATGAAAATACATTTTGAGAAACAAAGCTGTGTGAAATTTAATGGAATCATTAGGCATACTTTTATGATTTCGGGTAACTTCAACTGCCAGTCTTTTATTTCATTAAGAGAAATATAGTGAATGCAGCGCTTATTTCAGTCCTTGAAGCATGTCGAAATTACAATTAAAAATGCAATTTTTGTAAGGCTTTTTGTTCTTTAAATGTCCCATCTGCCGTGTGAAAAACACTTGCCACCCTGGCTATGAAAGAGAGTTAAATCGTGTTACAAATAAGGATTGAAACCAGTTGGGGACGCATATGAGACTGATAATGCTTCTGATGATGATGACTAAATTAGTATGATGCTTATTACTATTATTGTGAGGATGATTTTAAGGTCTATTCTGGATGAAATTGCTATTTGTTAGTCAATACTAGGATCAATTCAACGGCATCATGAGGCCTGCACTAGTCATTGTGGGAATAACTTAAATATCAGTTTCATACGACCGTTAGTCTATGAATACAATTAGTATTTACGATCTACTATTAGTATTGAAACCTACTCAATAAACTTATAAGTAGGCTAAAGTTTACTCCAGAAAAGTCGGTGTCGTGTAAGCCATGAGCTCTGTGGAAAAACTCAAGTCATTGTGAGCTATTTTGCCTGATGAAGTTCTCATTCTAATGCTTTATTTATAATTAGTCTTTCTAGACAACCGGTAGATTATTTATACAAGGTGTATTCACCTTATTTCGTTTAAGGTGATAAGGGGACTAGCAGTTGAATTTTCCTACAACGAGTTGAGTAAACCTTACTTTTCCAATGAATTTCACGTAGCTTTGCATCGAAAAAATATTATTGTTCCTGCTGGAGTGGATCGCAGTTTCGAGCCCGCCTTAACTGGCTTCATCCAACTACCAAGTGGGACTCGAACCGTGACAATGCAGCATATCATCTAGACAGGTTAACCATTACACCACACTGCCATGAGTGCCCTTGGCTCAAGAGCGGTCATGAATTTTAAGGAGTTCCATGCTTTTTCCCATATCGCATTCTGTGATGAGATTTTCGATTAAATAAAGTTTCATTTGGATTAGCAATCGATTACACTACTTATATTTCGTTGATAAGTAGGTTCTCGCAACTACCAAATAAATGGGATCTATTCAGCTTATTTTATTCAGGTGATAAACAGGTCTACTCATATGATTATGGTTAAATTCAACTACTGGTCCATCTATCACTTTAACTTTAATAGCGTGAATACACTTCGTGTTATAGAACCGCCGCTAATATTGAAATCTGCCCATGTGGAAATTAGATTTGCTGCATGTTTAGGCCCTTGGCCGTCCCACTCAACAGTCTTAACTGCGCGGCTTGCCTCTTTGCGTGGCCGATGAAGGATCCTTCTGCGAAATGCAAATCCAGTGACGCGTAAAAGTGTGCGTGTGGGTATGGGTTTGGGTGTGATTATGCGTGTGGGAGTTAGTGTTGGTGTGTAAAAGTGTGTCGACTTGCATTGGCGACGCAGCAAGGATCGAGCAGTGCATGTGTCAACGGTGAGCTGAAGAGCAAACAGTCGCGTCGGGCAGCATCTGTTGCTGGTGGCTATTTTCCCGGGCATGGCGAACAAACAAGCCGTCTCCACGACGCCCCGTGGACACGAGAGGGCACGTGGCCCAGCTTCTCGCGCCTAAAAGACGACGGCCCTGCAGGCGGCATCGTTTAAGACTTTCATCCCTTTCAGTCCTCTCCTTTTAGACTTGGCCAACAGGTCTTGTTTACTCAAACGCGATCGCTACATTGTTGCTCGCCACTCAACAATGGCCGGCGTCAAAAGGGACGACGGATGGTAGAGAACGAACCGGATCGTGTTTGTCCTCTCGCCTGTACCGGCTCCCCCTCGAACCGCAGAGGGGTGTGCTCGTGTCTCGGCTGTCGTCCGCTGTACCGCTCCACCGGCTTCAGGTCCTTTGGGCAGATGCTCATTTCGGCATTGCTCAACTCGACTCGGCTCAATTCAAACCGACTCGGCTCGACTCATTTCAGCTCAGCTTTGCTCAACTCAATTCAATTCAACTCAACTCAACTCAACTCAACTCAACTCAACTCAACTCAACTCAACTCAA